CCCTTCCTCCCACCCCCAATCCTTCTCCAACTCTTAGAATTCTGCTCCGTTTTCCAATGGCTCCTCCTCCGTGAAGTCTTCCAGATTTCCACCCCGTACTCCCACCCCACCCCCAAGGCCTTTTCTTTCCCAAACCCCAGGACGGCCTGACTCTGACCTCAGTCCTCTCTGCTACACTGACGAGGGGTGGTGTGTGGATCCCCTGAGGGGGACACATTGCTCCACCCCCTCAGACTCCACACACAGGTGGGTCCTGGGAGTCCAGGCACCCAGGTAAGGGTGGAAGGGAGGGAGGGAGGGAGGAGGGAAGAAAGCAGGAAGGAGGGAGCTGGGGTTCGGGGGCACCAGCCAGGAGCTAGCGTTCTAGTGGGGATGTTCTTAGATACCCTGGCTCTACTGTACCAGCCCAGGGCAGAGACAGCCTGAAGCATAGGAGGGCAGGGCAGGAAAGGGCTGTCTGAGCAACAGCCCGAAGAACGGTCATGGGGAGGGGGCACCTGACGCCTGTGCCTCAGCTAGCGCCTCAGGGGCCTGTGGCAGATGTCAAGAAAGGCTGACCTTGAATGGGTCCCTCTCCCTCGTGTGTGACACCCTGTCTGGCTGTCCCGCTGCCTCGGAGTTTAGCTGCCGGCTCAGCGAAGGCCATCTGCCTCCTGGGAGGCCCATTGTGGGCTCAGGGCCGGGCAGTCTGGGACTCGAATCTCTGCTCCACCACGGACCTCTGCTGCCCTGATGCCCACAGCCCGAGGCCAGCCACACCCCCACGGCTCTGGGCCTCATCAATAAAACAGAGGTGTGGCCCAAACTGGTTTGGCTCAGTGGACAGAGTGTCGGTCTGTGGACTGAGGGGTCCCAAGTCCGATTCCGGTCAAGGGCATGTACCTTGGTTGCGGGCACATCCCCAGTAGGGGGTGTACAGGAGGCAGCTGGTCGATGTTTCTCTCTCACCGATGTTTCTAACTCTCTATCCCTCTCCCTTCCTCTCTGTAAAAAAAAAATCAACAAAATTAAAAAAACAACAAAAACAGAGGTACGGGCCTTATCCCCCAGAATGGCTGTGAGAATTAAACCAGACTCATACTGCGGAGGCCCGCAGAAGGCCAGTGGGTGCCTGGAGTCACACAGCAGGAGAGTGGGAAAGATACTGGGGTTCCCGTCCCCCCGCCCCCCCTCAGGCCTGGGGTCCCGGGCTGGGCCTGCATCCGGCTGGAGGCCTGGTCTGTGTAACCAGCAGCTGCTCCCCGTGACCTGAGGAACCACAGACCATCCGCCCGCACGGGCTCAGCCCGGCCCCCCTCGCTGTTCCTCTGGCCTGACCTGGCCTCCCCGGGGGGGCCTTATCTGCTTATTCTCCCCTTTCCCACCGAGCTAATCTCTCCCTCTTCTCAAGAGTTCCTGTTTCCTCTCTGCCGCCTTCGTGTCTCTCCCGGGGCCCTGCTTCTCCCGTGTCTCCTGCCGGCCTCCCACACTGGGTCCAGACGCTTCCTCAAAGCTGTTCCTGCTATCGTCCCCGGGGAGCTTGTTCCCATCTCTCGAGGGCTTTCTACCCCCCCCCCTTCCCTCCCCTGTCTGGGACTGCTGCCCCTCACCAAGGAGGAAGCTGGAGCAGGCCTGGGTCAGGAATCCTGGGCCTTTTAAATTCTTCTGGTTGGCTGTTGGCCTCTGTAGGGCTTCTGATGCAATGCTTTGAAGATCCCAAAGTCCAAGGTACCAAGAGTTTGTGATTCTAAATCAATGTCCACAATAAGACCCGAGACCCTGGAGCGTTGAGGTCCTGGATCCACCCAGGAAAAGGCCTCGGCATTGCCTCCCCTGAGTGCAGGCCCGGCCCCGCTACAGGCTCCCAGCCCTGACCCAGCCCGGGGGAACAGGCCAGCGACCAGCTCTCCACCACGCCCTGGCTGCCCAGCTAGGAGGTGCAGGGCTCACTGCAGGCCCGGGCACTGGCCAGCGGCAGGTGCGTGAGGCCCAAGGGGCGCCGGGAGGTCTTCCATCCTTCTGCCCTCCATGTTTCTCAGCCCTCACGCCGTTGAAATGCAGACATGTGAGGAGGAGTTTGGTCGCCTGGGCGCCTGGCTATGAACTAACTGGGAGATCTAGGTCAATCGGCCCCTCCCAGGACCTCCCTTTTCTCACCTGTCAGATGGTGATACCCATACATACTCCCCTGGGGCCTCCTGTCTTTATGTTTGGCACAGCACACAGTAGGCGCACAGTAAAGGGTAGCCTTTGTATGATATGACCACTCTTTCTGAGAGTCATTCCGGGTTCTTGGTCTGCTTCCCATTGGCTTGTCTTGAGACATGTTCAAATCCAACATCGTTTACTTTCAAGTCTGACATTTCCAAGGCACGTATTGGGCCTTGAATGCACCACCCCCAGATCTTGGAGTCCCCAGGTGCCCCCGGCTGAGAAGGTGCTCCCAGCCCATGAGAAGGTCCCAGGCAGGGAGGGGAGACAGACAGACGCTCCACAAAGCCTTGGCTCGGAGCAGCATCAGAGGCGTGCAGAGGCTGCAGGAATCCTGTGGCCCAGGCCGAGGGTGGTCGGGGAAGGCTCTCCGGAGGAGGGAGCCATGTACGTGGGCCTCAAAGGAAGAGGGGGCTCTGGCTGCCTCTGCGATCCTGGGTGCTGGGCTGCTTTGAAGGTCTGATGGGTGTGGGAGCCCAGGGCCCTGGGGAAGGCTCTGTGGAGGTGGCTGCAAACAGCAGGTCCTGGAGGCAGAGGAGAGGCCTGGGGACTTGCTGGAAGTGTGGCTGGGAGGATCCCCTGAGGGAAGGGCTTCAGGCACCGGGGCCGGAACCAGGGGTTGGTTGGGGGGAGGGGGGGGCACAGGGAGACTGTGGAGCAGGGGGTGGGATCCACCTCTGGGATGCCCTGCATGTACCCGCACCACCGGCCCTCGGCCCCTTCTCAGCTCCTTGGCCGCAGGAAGGCCTTCCCTGCTCAGAATCCCCTCATCTGCGAGAAGACCGATGGCCAGGAGACCAGGACACACATCTTGAGGTTCCTGTCAGCTTGTGATTCGGTCACTATGGCCACCCCTGCTGCACACGTTCAGGCCGGGACTGGAGGATGGCCGCCACACAGCCCTCTCTCCTCCCACCCTGCGACGGGCCCAGCCTCTCGGCGTGCGGAGTGCGTCCACGTCACCCCCCCAGGGTGTCTGCGTCACGCCGCCGAGTCCGCCCAGGCTCCAAGCTGCACTGTGCTCCCCCATCTCCAGGTTGTGTCTTACCTTCACCTTCTCCCTCTCACACAGAAAATCAGTTTATAAATTCTCCTTACATCCATCGTCTCCATGTAGTCCCGAGATATAGGTGACTGACTACTAATTGCTTCCACTTGGGGGACCTGCCACGGGCCAGGCCCCAGGACCTTCTCCCCTTGTGTTCAGGGACACCCCCCGCCCCTCACAGGAAGTGAGGCTGAAGCACCGAGACCCGGTCTTCACCTGGTTGTAGCTGGGACCCCGGGGGTTCTCCCATCTCCCTGGCTTTCCTTCTCCGTCTCTGCACCTCTCTTCTTCTTCATCTCTCTGACCTCCGAGTGGAAGTGCCCAGCTCGGGCCTTTGGGTGCTTGCTTTTCTCTTCCACCCCCGAGTGCTGATGCCCAAGTGTGCACCTCGCCCCAGCCTCTCCCCAAAACGCCAGGTTTGGGCATCTGCCTGTGGACTCAGTATTTCCACGTGGGACCGATGGACATCGCCATCTCCGCAGGTCCAGCTCTGAACCCGGTCCTCTCTCCACCCCATCTCCGCATCCTCCAAGTGCTCGGCCAAAACCCCTACAGTCCTCCTGGCTCCTCCTCCTCCTCACAGCCCACAGCCATGAGGAGAACACATCCTGAGGGACCCCACAGGAATCCCACTGCCTCTCTCTCTCCCCGGGGGCTTTCCCAACCACCAGCCTTCGCCTCCCCGCCCCATTTCACTGATGAGGAAACCGAGGCCTCAGGAGGAGGAGCCTCGGAGTGAGCTGGAACCCGAGTCCGTGTCCCCAGCTCCCCCGGAGCCGGGTTTTCCCTTGAAGCCGGCTTAGCAGGCCTGACGACAAGGCCAGGACGTGTGCGTCGGCGTGTGTGTCCCTGAGGAACAAAGAACCTGCCAGCTGGGTTTGTGTTTCAAGACGTCTGTCCTCGCCCTTGACCAAGAGATCTTATGGGGAGACTAGGGCCAGAGCCTCAGAGCCGGCGGGGGTGCGGCGGGGGAGGAGGGGGGGACATCAATCAGAAGCCGCCTCGCCTGGAAACCGGAGAGCCCGGGCCAGCGCCAGGACTTTCTGAGCTCTCTTGAGGAGGCCAGAGACTGCCGGGGAGGGCTGGGGTTCTCTCCGCATTTATTTCATACAGCTGTTTAAAAGGCTTGTTTAAAATATAGATCATTATATCTATATCTATATATTTATATATATATATATATATAAAATATATAAAGAGGAATTGAGGCAAGCCACCCCAAAGAAAAAGCTATGTTTTATAAATATTTCTGTAGCTCCCACATCCCAGAGGAAGAAAACAAAAAAAACAGAGAAAACATTTACAACCCAAGCTAGTGGTTCCATGTGGTGGGCCCGGCAGGCTCGACGCTGGGGGCCGGGGTCTCGGGGGGGCCTGGCCGGCAGAACACTCCGTGAGGGCCGGCAGCTCCCCCTTCCTTCCCTCCCGGGAGGGAGGCCAGTGATCTGGCTGCACAAGGTCACGTCCATGCCAGTCTTGCCAATCCCATGCCCCTGGCTCCTTAGACCGGCCTGGAAGGCAGCAAGTGGGCACTCCGGGGCCTCGGGCTGCCAGGTTATTTTTAATCTTGAGAGTTTCCTTTGATGTCCCGGCCCTCCTTCTGTTCCTAGCGGCTTCCAAGTGGAAGCACCGGCCGCCTCCCATGCCTGGCATTTGGAAGTCACAAGCAAAACTCCACGAGGCATCGCAGGCCCGTCGGCGGGCCTCGGTGGACCGCCGAGGCCCCGGAGCTCCCACGGGGCCGGGCGGGGCAGGGCGGGCCTCACTTGCAGACGTAGCGCTCCACCGTGCGCTCGCACCTGCGGCAGGTGACGTAGCAGCACCAGTGGTACTTGCAGTGGCAGCGCTCGACCACGCGGTCCGTGTAGGGGTTGTAGCCACGTCCACAGCACATGAGGTCGCAGCTGTCACTGCCGTGGGATGTCTTGTTGCATTGCCTGGGGAGGGGAAAGGGGAAGCACTCAGTCACCTCAGCCCCAGCTCCCAGCCAGGCAGCCCGCAGCCTCCCCCACCCTGGCTACAGACTCAGTCCCCAAAGGGGTCTTGATCTTTGGGAATACTATCTAATAAAAGAGTAATATGCAAATTGGCCCGTCACGCCAACACACAAGATGGTCGCCCCCGTGTTGACACAAGATGGCCACCACAAGATGGCCAGCAGGGAAGGGCAGTTGGGGGGACCAGGCCTGCAGGGGAAGGCAGTTGGGGGTACCAGGCCTAAAGGGGAGGGCAATTAGGGGGGACCAGGCCTGCAGGGGAGGGCAGTTGGGGGTGAGATCAGGCCAGCAGGGGAGGAGAGTTAGGGCAATCAAGCCAGCAGAGGATCAGTTAGGTGTCAATCAGGCTGGCAGGGGAGTGGTTAGGGGGTGATCAGGCTGGCAGGCATGAGCAGTTAGGAGCAATCAGGCAGACAGGCAGGCAAGCGGTTGGGAGTCAGCAGTCCTGGATTGTGAGAGGGATGTCTGACTGCATATTTAGTCGGACATCCCTCAAGGGGTCCCAGATTGGAGAGGGTGCAGGCTGGGCTGAGGAACACACATACCCACCCCCATACACGAATTTTGTGCACTGGGCCTCTAGTATTTAATAATCCTCTTCCCCAAGGGTATGTCTCACGTTTCCCTATATTCCTAATTTATCAACATGATGGGGGTGTTTTATTTCATGGAGGTGTCTTTTTTCCTGTTTCTTCCACTTCTGAATACTCCAAGGAGCCTCAAATCACTCGAATAGTCTTATCTTCAGACTCAATCTTGAGTTATAATGTAACAAATGCAAAGATTGCCTTTACTTTTAGAATCCCAGGAAAAATTCTGAAACAGACAAAATGCCACGTGTGTGAACAACGTGAGCGGCTGGCACGCAGGTTTCAGGGGTGCAGGGGCCTCTGGCAGAAATATGACCCGAGGGTTGGGGTTTGGCATGCTGACTGCTGAAGAGGCCTCAGTTCCCCAGGCGGGACTTGTGGAGGGCGCCTTCCCCAGCGAGGGGCCAGCCTCTGGGAGAGGTACCACCTGCGCACATTCCTTTTACAGTTACTCCACCCCCTGCACCCCTCAATCCCCTAACCCAGTAAATCTACATGTTTCCTCCTCCAGAAAGTCTTCCTTGATGCCCAAACTGGGTGAGAGCCCTTCTGGGCTCCCCGCATCCCTGGGCTTCCCCCTGTCACAGTTTGAGCACTTGGTGTCTCTCCTCCTCCCCAGCGTTTGCCAGAGCCTCGTGTAACGCGTGTGCGGTTGTCAGCTACTGAGATATCGGGGCTGTTCGTTACTGCAGAAAACACTGACCAGGACGGATGTCTGCAAAGGCCCATCCCCCAAAGCATGCTGGGAGTTGAGCATGGCAGGAGACCTGGGCATTCTGGGAAAGCGAGGAAGGCAGCTGGTGCTGTCCAATGGGCCTCCTTACTACCGGTAGTACTAGTTTCAGGGGCAAATCCTAGGGGCAGAGTGTGGGAAACTGGAAAGAAGGGGCCTGGAGGCCTGGGGGGTGGGAAGATGTGAGTTGTGGGAACCCTTAACACGACCCGCGTGATTAGGGCCCACTCAGGGTCCAGCTTCTGGAGGAGGCCACACACTAAAATAAAGAGAGAGACTAGAAAAGAGTTAATTTGGGACAAATGGGGGGCCAGGCAGGAGCCAACCTCTAGTGGGAAGACTCTCTAGGCTCTGGCTTCCGCTATCTCTTTTATTGAGGCTGCTATGGGATACACTCATCACCCTTAAGCAGCTTTGGGAAACACCCATTAGGCAGATAATAAGCGGATTATTTTATCAGTAAGGATTTACATGATTACAAGATGGGGAAGTTGCCTCAAGTAGTTACTATTGTCTCAATTAGATAGGGTGTGGTTGGCTCTGACCTTTCAGAGCTTCAAGGTTGACCAGCCTCTTTCTATTAGTGAGACAATGATTGGTTTCCGGCAGCAAGTGGAGACTACCGTTAACGCGCCTTTCCGTGGGACTGGCACGGCCCCACGCAGAGGAGCTGCCTGAAAGTGTAATTAGAGATCTCTCCGCAACCCTCCCAGGTGTGTGGTAGTGACCCCATTGCACCGAAGACAAGGCTGAGCCTCAGATAAGTGAAGGGATTTGCTCAAGGTCCAACAGCCAGGACGCTGCAGAGTCAGGTGCAAACTATCCTTTCCCAACACACACACACACACACACACACACACACACACACACACACAAACACACACACAGCCCCCCCTCCCCCCCACCCTTTTCCACCCCCTGCCAATGGATGCAGGGAGACCCTGTCTTTGCTCTGGGATCTTTGACGGGCCTCCCCCAGCCCCTCTGGGTTCTAGAATCCTCCTTTCCCCACCCCACCATCAGACCCACCCGGACTGCCTCACTCCCTCCTGTCTCCCTGGCCTGACCCAGTTCCATCTTCACTCCGCCCGACCCCCTCAATCTGGCCTCCAGATGGGAGCCTGGGCCTCCTCACAGAGCCTGCTGCCCTGGCCTGCGAAGACAGGGCCCCCCAAACCAGCCCCCCTCTCCTGGAGACAGGAACGTGGGCTGCGGAGGAAGCAGATGCTGGCTGGGCACCAACTATGTGCCAAACACGTTCTCAGACACCCTCACTCCGGTTCAATATTCTTTTAACCCCGCCGAACACTCGTTTTGTGGAATGCTATTAGGGGCTCCTTAATAAAAGAGTTCCCCAGCCAAACACCTCGGGGAGGCACAGCTCAGACAGGTCCTTTTCTGTGGGATTCCTCCGAGCCTTTCATATGTTCCCATGCCTTGTGAATCGCCAGAAAGCTCCCCAAACGAGCACGCGTGTGGACCTGTCTCTGTTACAGCTTCTCGGGACCGGCTTCCTCCAGAACTATCCGGGAAAGGCTGCTCCCCGCCAGCTTTGCCTGGTGCACAGTAGGTCTGCAGGCATCGCCGGCTCCCTCCCTCTCTTCTGTCCGGAGCCAGCTATAGCAGCCGGGATAGGGCCAGCTGTAGGGCCCTCAGCCCCAGCTCTGACACTGGGCAACCTCGGGGAGAGAGCTGGGGCTCAGGAGGATGGGTGCATGTATGTGGGGGGGACATGGGACCCCTCTTTCTCCACAGGATGCAGGCAGACCTCGCTCTCCCGTTGCCCCTCGGGAGCGCGGGTGCCCTAGTTCTGCCTCCACTCTGTGCGGACTTCCCACGTCGCTGTGGGCTGGCCACGGCCCCCACTTCCCCTGGTGCCGCAGGCCCTCATCTGTCCAGTGAGCCAGCTGTGTGACATTTAACTTTCATGTATTCATCTGGCAGACACTGACCGAGGCTAGCGCCTGTCAGCGTCTCCTCCCATCTGTCTCCCCGGCCAGGAGGAAGGTGGGGGGGTGGGCTCTCACCAACCTCCATTCCTGAGGGGCCCCTGTCTTGGCGAGGAGCACCACAGCCACTCCCAGAAGCTCTGCCAGGCGGCACCTCCACTCCGCATTCCTGGGGCCACCTCCCCCAACCGGGCAGAGACTCCCGTCCCTACATGCCAGCTGGCCTGACCGTGTGCCTGGCCCTGGGCTGGGGGGGGGGGGGGCACGTGTAACGCAGCTGGCCCCTCCTGCCAGGGCGGCGGCGGGCCCTTACCTGTCCTGCGTCCCGTGGGAGCCCACCTTCTCGTTCTTCATGCAGAAGTCGGGCGAGCTCTGCAGGTAGACCAGCTCCGAGTCCTTCACGGGCCGGATGTCCAAGTCCTTGGGCACCAGGTGCTTGCGGGTGCCCATGGGGCGGTGCACCACCTTGGTGGCCGACAGGTAGCGCGTCTTCAGGTCGGCGGCCACGTCCCGCAGCTCCTGCAGCCCCTTCCAGCAGGTGCGGATGGAGCAGGAGCCGGACACCCCGTGGCATTTACACTTCATCTCCAGAGACGCACGCAGAGCCTGCGGACAGGGGAGGGTGTTGGGCTGGCCTGCCCTGGGACCCCGAGCCCCACTCCTCCAATTCCCCCCTCCCTACGCCCCCATGCTGGGTGCTCTCGGGAGTCATTGCTTGCCTGCTCTGGGCCTCAAGTGTTAGGGTGTGTGTGTTTGTTTGTTTGTTTGTTTATCTAAAGCTGGGGGTGCTATAATCCTCAGTTCCTCCTCCAAACTGAGGGGCAGCTGGGAGGGGCGGGAAGACAGTGGCATTTGCAGGGTAGTGGATGCCAGTTATACAGCCTAATGCACACCCAATGCTCTAACACATACTACGGCTTAGTCAGCACCACAGCCCTGCTCAGAGGCCTCCTTACTCCCCCGCAGTAAAAAGAGGAAATGAGGCTCAGACAGGCTAAGCCTCAGGCACAAGGGTGCACAGCCAGGAAACCTTGAAGCTGGGATTTGAACCCAGGTCTGAGGGCGATTCTAAAAGCCATGGCTTTTAACTGTCCATGCTTTTTCTCTCACACAAAACTGGTTTTACTAAGTTTTACTAAGTGCTGTGGGGGGGGGGGGGGGAATAGGGAAAGAAAAGGAAGGAAGGGAGGAAGAGAAGGAGGGAGGGAGGGAGGGAGAGAAGGAGGAGAAGCAGGGGGGGAGGAGGTGAGAGCATGGGTGTTCCCTGGCCTGGCTGATCGTTCCCTCCACTGCTGGTGCTCCTGCCAGGTGACCCTCAGCACGTGACATCACCACTCAGCGCCTCTGTCTTCCTATGTGCAGAGTCAACACGGAATTGTCACCTTGCTTAGTCAAGGGAATTCAATGAAATGACATATATGCAAGGGTTTTGTGAACTATAAAATGTAAAGGAATATTGGTTTTGAAAAATATGGTAATAATATGGTGGAGGAGGGAAGCTTGGGCTTTGGGGCTTGGGGTGACTCTAGCCCTGGCTTTGAGAGTAACTCTGCTCCACCGTCTTCCCTGGGCCTCCGTGTCCCCAGGTGAACCTGAGGGGCATGAATCAGATCCTTTCAATCCTGCCTTTTAGCCCCCGCTGCTTTGCCCACAGGACTCAGATCCGTGTGCCAGGCCGGCCCTCCTGCCTGCCCTGTGCAGACAGCTACAAGGCTTAGAGGCCCCCTATGCCTACCCCCTGCAGCACAAAGATGGGGAAACTGAGGCACAGAGTGGGCAGGGACTTGCCCAGAATCCCTCGGGGCGTTAGTGAGGGCACTGGTCAAGGTCCCAGGGCTCCTTCCCCCTCGCTGGTGCCTGGAAGTGGGGGTGAAGGGAGTCCATTGGGTATAAAATCTGGAATTGGCTCAGGGAAGCTCCTGAGTGAACCCCACTGCTGGATACATTGAGCCTCCAAGGGTGAGAGGTACGTTTGAATCATCAGGAAAAGGTAAAGTACGTCCCTAAACACACTGCACCTCAGGTGCCATGTGCCCTCTCAGGCCCTGGGCTTACAGATGGCCCCGAGAGGACAGTTCTTAGCATCGAGCCAGAAGTCAGCCCCATGTGGCCTGGCTGAGAACCCTGTTTGGACTGCATGGAGGGGCGAGGGCTGTGCCCATGAGGTTTGGGCCTGGCCGTGGGTGAGAATGGGGCTGGGTTTTCAGGCTGGGGGCTGGGTGAGGGGGTTCCTGTTGAATTTCCGAGGATGGGGGACAGGCCTCCCAGTTGGGAGGCTGGAGTCCTGGGCCCCTGGCCAGGCTCTGCTACAGACTCACAGTGTGACTTGGCTTCAATCTCCCCAAATGTCCACAGGTGGCATGAACATCCTAGAATCCTTACACGAGGGAGACGAGGGAGACGGGAAGGTGAGGACACGGCCACCTCTGGGCCTGGAGCCCCTCAGACCTGGGCTCCCCTGCGCCCTGTGCCCGGGGTTGAGCCACCTCAGCTCTTTGTGCCTCACTCGGTGCCTCTGAAATGGGCCTCCCGGGGCTGCAGGGAGGAGGTCAGGAGATGCCATCTGCAGCCAGCACCCTGCCCCGCCAGGGCCCTGCTCCCCATCTGCAGGAAGAGAGAGCAGTATCTCCTCACAGTGGACTGTGGATCACAGGAGAGAAAACTCACCAAGAACCCAACACGGGGTCTGGCACACAGGTGGTATAAAGGTGTTTGTTTGTTTTCTAATTGTTAGAAAATAAAAAGGCCCATTCATTCACTCCTCCAATCGTTTGTGAAATGAGGTGAGGAACTAAGGGAAAACTGATAACAGATGTTGGGAAAAAACTGTTCTGGAGGTTAGGGTGAGCTTTGTATCCAGGAGGACATCCCCATTAGATCCAGGGAGGCAATTCCTTAAGCTAAAGCTCATTGCTCCACAGCCCTCTCCATGGCTCCTCCCATACCCAGTGTGGCCCAGAGCCCAGAGGCAGAGCCTGAGAAGATGGCCCCTAAAGACTCAGGAGCACCAACCCCCCATTGTATAGATGGGAACAACTGAGGCCAGACAGGAAGTGACGTGCATACAGAGCTGATTGCCAGAGCCAAGGTGTGAACTCAGAGCTCCTGACTCCTAGCTCAGTGCTCCATTTTCTCAGCCAACATTCTCTACCCCAAACCCCAAGGAACCCCCTGGAGAAGGAGCCAGGCAAGCCCCACACAGCTGGAGAGGGGAGAGCTGGGGGAGGCCAGGAACCGTCTGAGTGGGTGTATCAGGGCCCATCCCCCCGCCACCCTTCCACCGGGGCACACTCGGTGGCCTTTTCTGGCCGATCGGCACAAGCACAACCCTCTGGGGTGGGTGGGGTGGGTGGTTACCTGTCTCCCCACTTCACTGTTGTGTAGACGCATCAGTTTATTGGCTTGGGATCCTGTTTTTTTCACCTTCATAGGAGCATCGGAAAACTTGGCCCCCATGAGGAGCCCGTAGCTGAGGTTGTCCGCACATCCTCCCCAGCGGTTCCCGGGCCCGGGTGGCTCACCTGGGACAGGGCCGCAGGAGCAGCCAGGCAGGTCGCCGGAGGTGCAGGCCCGGGCGATGGCGTGGCTGATGGTGGCTGCTGACAGCGCATACACGAAGGCGGACTCCCGGGTCCCTGTGGGAAGGTGCCTGTCAGCCACGTAGGGTGATGACCTAGAGATAGCACCCAGCCCAGGCCTGAGGGCCTCTTCCTGGGCCCCCATCTGCTCTTGGGAGGTCCAGTGGGGCCAGGGGCTGCACACAGAGTGGAGCAGGTGCAGGACAGAGCTTGGGCCATTAATCTGTCACCCCTACATCCTCCCACAAACACACTAGCTGACACGCACACACTCTCTCTCTCTCTCTCACACACACATGCGCGCGCGCACACACACACACACACACACACACACACACACACTCACACAGGACAGCAGAACCGCCCACGCACTTGGGCACACCCTCAGGCCCACACACTTATGCTCCCGTTCTTGCCCTGCTTGCCCTGCATGCCGCGTTAGGGCTGCTTTAGAGAGATGAAGGCCCTGTCCCTTCACCCGCAAAGAGCTCATGGTCTGATGGATGGGCAAAGAGCCCACTGTGGGTTGAAATGTTTCCCCCACAAGATCTGCTCAAGCACTAACCCTTTGTGCCTGTGAATTCGACCTTGTTTAGCAATAGGGTCTCTGCAGGTGTAACTGAGCTACAATGAGGTCATACTAGATCCAGGTGGACCCTCATGCCATGACCGGTGTCCTTAGAGGAAGAGGGAGTTTGGAACCAGAGACACGTAGAAGGAAAGGGCCACGGGACAGAGGCAGAGATCGGAGTGAGGCAGCTATAAGCCAGGGATAACGAGGGCCGCCGGCCGCCACCTGCAGTGAAGAAGCAGGGAGATCCTTCCCCAGCTCCTTCAGACAGAGCACAGCCCTGCCTCCGCCTGGATCTCAGCCTCCCGGCCTCCGGAACTGTGAGACACACATTCCTGCTGTGTGAGAGCCCCTCACCCCTCGTTACTGCAGCCCCAGCAAATGGAGGCCCGTGCGCTTCAGCCGTCGGGTGGCATGGCCTTGGCCCTGACTCCATCTCTTTACTAGAAAACCACTTCCCCTTCTCAAGCCTCAGTTTCCTTAACTGTGCAATGGGGCTGAGAGTACCTACCTCAGGCTGGCTCTAGAGTTCAACCAAGGTGGGAAGAAAGGAAGCTTTGTGGAGTGCTGCACAAACATGAGCGGTTACAGTGCAGAGCACAGATTAGACCCATGGGGGCATTTCTGCCCGTAGAAAGTCTCTCTGTTGTACACACGCTCCCCAGATCCACCCCAGAAGCCACCTCCTCCAGGAAGTCCTCTCCACAGGTGTTCTTTAGCCCGTATATCACTTTGTGCATCTCACAGCAACTCCAGCCGACCTGGGCTAGCACTACCTGTGAACAGCAGTCTGTCCCAAGGGTGGGTTCCATCGCATTCCCGTTCCAGACCCCCCTCACCCTCCAAGAGCCTTCCTGGCATTGTTCTCTCCTTCACCCGTGCACTGGGGTACAACGTGCACGTGTGCTGTCATTCAGGCTCCTCTGCGCTGGTCTACTCACTCACTGTGTGTTCATTCATGCATCGGTTCATGCCTAAATACCCAGATCTATGATTAATTCACCCACCCACCCACCCACCCATCCATCCGCACCTCTAACCTTCTGTGTATCCGTCTATCATCCGTCCGCTCACTCATCCACCCATCACACATCCATTCATCCGTCCACCCGTGAACTCCCCCACCTATCTAAACACACATACGTGTGCCTGAATCCCTCCGTTCCCACCTGCGTGCATTCCGCAGGCCCTGGCAGCCCCTGCGGGCTCCCTACCTCTCTCCAGGTCAAGCAGGTAGTTGGGGGCCAGCTCGATGGAGGAGCAGTTCCAGCGCATGTCGGCGAAGGCCCGGCGGCAGGCCTTCATGACCTCGCGGGCGGCGTGCACGACGGTGTGCATGAGCTCCAGGTTGCTGCGGCACAGCTGCACCTGCGCCGACACCAGGCCCTCCAGCTGTTTGCAGTGCTGCGTCTGGTTCAGGGCCAGGGCTGCCGGCGTCTTGGACAGCGCCCTGCGCACCACCGAGAGGCAACAACGAGGAGAGGAAAGACAGGGCGTGAGGGGCCACGTAGCTTCCCACCTATGTGTCCTATGGGCCCCACCCTCTCCTCAGGGGGCCCTGGAGCCTTTGCCAGAAAGAGCCAGGAATCCAAGAGGCAAAGTCCAGGCCCCAGCAGAAAGATGGCTCCTCCCCCTTCTCCCCACCCTGTGCACATCACGGACGCTTTACTGGGCCACAGGCTTTCCTTCGTAACAGGATCACAACCTCCGTCCGTCCTACCTAACCGTTATCATAATTCCCCCAGCAATAAACAGCGTTACAGTCTGAAAGCTACTCGCATCCGTTGCCTTTATTTGAATTCTCTCGCAGCTAGGAGTGAATTCCTTCTTAGTTAACATTCATTCACCATGGAGCATGCACCGTGTGCCGGACACCGTGCTAAGTGCTAATTGTTATCATCATCATCACCATCATGATACACAGTAGGAATCAAGCATTTACTAAGTGCACAACATGACTTAGGAGCTTTCCATCATTGCTTCGTCTAATTATTAAACTCCCTTCTTAGGCTGTCAAGTCCCACACACGTGCAAGGGATGGCTGTGAGAGGACCAAAGAGCCACTCCTTGGGTGATAAGACGGACTTAGCTGCTAACTCGCTGTGCGAGCCGAGGACAGTCACTGTCTTTCTGGGTCTCGGGGTCTGCACCCACACGTGCATTTCCCAGAATGGGTGCCCGTCCAATAAGACCCTGAAGTCAGGGACCCGTGTTCAGACATATTCAGGAAACACGAAGTACCATGTCCCTGAGAAAGGCTGCGGTGAAGCAGCAGGCGTGGCTCTGTGTAACTCCCGGCCTGCAGAGCACAAAGCCCTGCTCTGGGGAACACTGGCCTAGGTCTCTGACCCTGGTGAGGCCATACGACCCGAGAACCTCCCAGATCCTGACTCTGGGCAGGGGATTCCGAGACGCCGGGACCCAGGGTCCAGCCTGGATCTGCCTTTCTCCCAGGCCTTCTCTGAGGAGCTGACTCCCCCGGGCAGCACCTCCTCTAAGCGCAGGCGAGAGGGACCCCACAGCCTTGATGGGGTTCACGTACACTAGCCTCCTGCCTTCCGTGACTCAGCACAGAATCCAGGGACATGAGCTCTGTATTTCCGGGGGACCCTGGTGCCTGGGGACCCTGACCCTGGGCCACTCCTCAAGCATCCTCCTCCCCAGCTGATGCTGAGAGGAGGTGCTGTGAGGGACACCGCAGGGAGCATGCTCCCATGCAGGGCTCAGACTGCCCAGGTAGGTGGTGGACATAAGGAGATGGAGCCATCTCGGGGTGGGCACAGGAAGGAGCTGGGAGCTGCTGGGGAGAGTGGCTGGGACCGAGAGGTCTGGGGGGTGAGGAGGGGAGGTCCGCCAAGGGAGTGTGCGGGCTGGGAGACCAGGAGGTGGAAGGCAGTGGATTCCAGTCCCAAGGAGGGAGACCGGGTCATCTGGTAATGAGCGGTAATGACCGTATCTAACTAAGTCCCCCTTGGGGAGGTAATCAAGGATTAGGGCGGGAGGTGGGGGAGTTACCCGTCTGGACATCTCCGCCCGCCTGCCTCATGCAGCAGACCCCTAATTGAAAACATTTTGGTTTGTCGGGGGGGGGGGGGGCGGTGAGGGTGGGAGAGAGGACAGGAGGGGACAGAGAGTTCACAGCAAGGCCTGTGCCAAGGGTACTGCTGGGGTGGCCCAGGCCTTCTCATTCGGGAGTTGGGGTTCTCCTGAGCATGCCTGGGGGGGTGGGGGGGGTCAGAGGCCTGGGTGTCTGTTTCAGCTCAGCTGCTCACCCGACATGTCCCCATCCCGCTGTGTGAGTGGGGACAAGTTGCCCCAGAGAAGGCAGGGCCTGCCCGTCAGAGGCAGAGCCGAGCAAGCACCCAGGCCTCCCAGACCCCAGGCTGGGTGCTCCACTCCCACCTGGGAGGTGGAACTGAGGCCCCCGGAGGCTAGGGAACTGGCAGAGCTCCGGCCGGGATGCAGGTCCCCCAACTGGGCAGCAGCTCCGGGCCTTCTGGAGGCCCCTGGGCTCCTTCCTGAGAGGCCTGGCCCCTGAGTGAGCGGCAGGCTCGAGGCTGCCCCGGGGGGGGGGGGGGGGGGCCGCGGAGGGTGGAGAAGGGAGGGAGGAGGAGTAGCCTTTGTGGGTCCTCCCAGCCAACCTGACACCCCCAGGGGTTCCCACCTCCCCTGACCTCCACCCAGGGCAGCCGGAGAAGGGGGCAGACAGCCCATCTGAGTCCCCCCACACTTGCTGGCCTGAGACTCTCCCAGCACCTGACTTAGGTGGGAGGGGAGGTCGTAGAGGGGCACCCCAAGTTTTTTTTCTGGTCAGCTGCTTCCCTAAGCTTCCAGGCTCTGTCCCCCTCCCCCATACCCTTCACCCCACCGGGAAACTCGGGCTGAGTCCCAGGTGCCCAACAGGTGGGCATTCCAGGTCACTTGGCCACATCTGGTTCCAGCTCCTGGGTCAAATGGCCCTTTCATCCTTAGCTCACTTTCCAAAACCCAGGGTAGCGCCCCCCCCCCAGCCCTCCCAGGGTACCCCCAGGACAGCTGACTCTTCCTGGATGAGTCCTCAGCCTCCAGCTGCCCTGTCCTTCCCTGTGGCTGCCTGCGACCAGCAGGCCACAGGGCCAGACAGCCTAACTCCAAACCCCGCCTCTGCTGCCGACTGGCTGTGACGGCCTGCAAGACACTCTCCTCCATTTCCTCTTCTGTTTAATGGGGGTGATAGCAGAGCGCCCCTCATACTGGTTGGGAGAGTTAAATGAAACAATATACACAAAGCACTGAGAACTGTGTCGGGCTTGTAGCGAGGTCATATACAGTTGACCCTTGAACAATTTGGGGGTTAGGTGAACCAACACTCTCCCCACCCCAGCTCCATGTGCTGCCAGAAACCCGCATATAAATTTTGACTCCCCCAAAACTTAAGTTGTCCCTCAGTATCCATGGGGGATTGGTTCCAGGACCCCCGTGGATACCGAAATCCATAGATGCCCAAGTCCCACTTTTAAAATGGAGCGGATCAATGCATACAGTTGGCCCTCCACATCCGTGGATTCCCAACTGCGGTTGGAAAACAGCAGTTATTCACTGAAGAAAAAAAAATCCACGTATAAGTGGAACTGTACAGTTCAAACCCATGTTGTTCAAGAGTCACCAGTATACACACACATATACACACACACACACACACACACACACACACAACTGTTGTTCTTCTTCAACTCTACTCCTTCTCCTGCTTCCCCCTCTATCTTCAGCTCCAGAGAGTTTAACCACTAGGAAGAGCTTTGGCTTCCTGGAGCAGGTCTGCTTGGGTTCTGACCCCAAAGCCACAATGAGTCAGCTGTGTGACCTTGGGCCAGCTACTTAACCTCTCTGTACCTTTGCTCCCTCGTCTGTAAAACAGCAGTGATAAGACTGTCACCTACCTCCTGACTAAAGCTCTCGGCACTCTGTCTGGGATTTACTAGGAGGCTCCTTTAATTCCTCCTTCTCCTGCTTCCCCGAGTACACACGGCCCTGCCTCCATGCTTTTGTCCCGCTGTCCCCCTGGCTAGGGTGCTTGCTTTGCATTCCATCCTTGACCATAAAATCCTATCTATCCTCCAAAGCCCGGCCCACAAGTCACCTACCTACCCTGGGAGGGACTGACTGGAACACAGCCCAGAGTCCAATTGGCTTGGTTTTTTGTTTTTTTTTTTCACATGCCCACCTCCTCCACGAGGCCAGCAGCTCCTTCAGGCAGACACGGAGCTGTAGTCATTTCTGTGGCAGCCTGAGCCTTGGAGTGGGGACAGCGTGGATGCTGGGCTTAGCTGGCAATCTGTTCCAGGCCCTCCCCAGCCACATGCCAGCGTGGGGGCTGTGCAAGCCACACCCTTCGCGGGGCCTACGGTACCCTGGGAGGGATAGCATGTCCCCCACAACGCCGAAGGACCGAGCCCGGTTCAGCTGCCTGCGCTTTGCTCCTCAGCAAACCCTTTCCCTCTCTGCACCTCAGTTTATGTCTCTGTAAGATGGCGGTGGTGGGCGAGGCGGCGTGGACTCCCTGCTCAGAGGTTCCCGCCTGCTGGGCCAGGGCCAGGCACTGGCAGGAGGAGGGTTGCTGGTTTCTCACAAAAGTAATCAGGAGCAGCTGGGAGGCCGCTGCGCCCAGGCTTCTTCTTCCCAACTAGACACACAAGAAGAGGGGATTCCCCTCTTGAATCATCAATTCATGGGCAGCTCAACCCCAAAAGGAGCAGGGCTGGTGACCTCGGACTATGTGCCGGCGGCCTGGCCACTATCGCCTTGTCTCCAGAGAATCCAAGAACCTTCCACACACACCCAATAGCCCCCCTCACCCCTGCACAGCCCCCACAATCTGTCCCCTGCCTGTCTTAGCCACCTGGCTCCCCGCCCCCCACCCCCAACTCCAGACTGAGTCCTGTCCTAGACTCCCCCACCACTCAGGGGACCGGTCCACTCAAAACACGGCCTTTCCATTGTCCCCACCTGCGCCCCCAGAACCTCTCAGGCCAGCCTAGCAAAAATCAGCCCCTGAAAACCTCTCCAGGTGGTCCCTCCCTCCCCCAGTCCGGGCCCCACCACGCCCCTCTGCTCTCTCCAAGGCACTCAGCGTTATTTATTTACGGCTGGGACTTATCTTTCCCAGTCCCTGGTGCAGCTCCTCCAGGACGGGCCTGGCTGGACTCCTCTCTCCGCCCTGCGGGGCCCCGCAGCCTGCACAGAGCAGGCTGTCCCTTCTGCTGGATGGAAGGGCACCCCTCTCCCACCAGCCCCCAACCCTCTGCCCATGAGTCATTTCCACCTAGAGGGCCACCCTTCACATGTGCACAGCACCTGACAGTTTACGAGGCTCTTTCAAGAGCCGCTTCTCATCTGATCTGAGAGGCGCAGATGCTCCCTCCCTATGGACAGAGGAGGACACGAGCCCCCCCCCCCCCCCCCCGCAGGCTGTGACACTTCCCCAGGGTCCCTCAGGCAGAGGTCAGGGCTGTGTGAGGACCTCCAACCAGGGGAAGGAGACTGACAAGAAAACACGTGCCAACTCGGACCCTCTGATCTGCGCCCCTGGCCCAGGCTCTTTTTCATCTGCCCCGGGGTAGGTCTGCGCAAATCTCAGCTGCCCGGACAGGGTCATCCCCTCGCCCTCCACGCGCTGGCTCGCTCAGAACCCTAGGGCAGTCAAGGACAGCATGGGCAGAGAAGGGAAAGGGGGCTTACGAAGAGTGACTTGCCCATGACCCCCCCCCCAAGCCAACTTCTCCCCTTCCTGGGGCCCCTGACGGCTCCCCACTCCCCCCAGCCGCCTCTCCCGGAGCCCCCCGCTGCGCGGTCCCCACTCACAGCCACTTGATGCCGTAGCTCAGGCCGGTGTGGAGCGCCAGCGCGAAGAGCAGCGCCTCGCAGACCCGCGGCCGCGCCCTCATGGTCGCCGCCGGGCGCGGGGGTCGCACCGGGAGGAGCCGCCGAAGCCGCGCCGCTCAGGCCGCCGCCTGCAGTGGGGAGAGGAGAGCGGAGGAGGCGCGGGTCAGGGCGGCGCAGGGCTGGGGCCGTGGCGGGGACCGGGGCGTTTTATTCAAATGACGACGAAGGGGGGAGGGTCCGGGCCCCGGGAGGCCGCTCCGGGCCCCGCACAGACCAGGGCTCGCCCGCCCAGAGTCTGCTCCGATTAGGCGCCGCGGGAGCCTGAGTGCGGCCGCGGGCGTGTCCACCCGCTTCTTTGCGCCCCTCCGGCCGGGACCCGCACCCCGCGGGCAGGAGGGAAAGGGGTGACGGGGCCAGAGACACCGGAGACCCGGCGGAGAGGGGCTGGGAGGGGCGGGGACACAGCGAGAGGGAGCGGCGCTCAGAGGCAGAGCCTGGAAGACACCGCGGAGCGGAGAGGAGCCGGGACATACGCACGGAGATGGGGAGGGACCGAGAGCAGAGGGCGCGGGCGAAGGGTGTCGGGCGGAGGCCGGGGTGGTGGTGGGAGAGGGGAATGTCAAAGATTCTGAGCCCCTAAACTGGTTTCTTATCTCCGCAAAAGCAGTTATTATACGATGGCTCTGCTGGTTTTCCGTTTCCATCGTGCCTGGGGATACAATTGTAATCCCAGTTGTGATAACGTTGGATCACCTAACGGGATCGCCTTTGCTCCTTCCGGCAGCCCGGCCAGATAGGTCCCATCCCTGCCCCCATAGCCCAGGTGAGAAGGCTCGGGGGATACAAAACGGGGCTGGTCAGCCCAGTGAGCGCATGTCCACATCCCCTGTTCTTCTATGTCCTCTCGGACGCCCGGTGAGATAACGGACTATGAGAAGACAGGGACATGCAGGCTTGCTCTAGGCGTCCGTTTCTCAAGTCTGTGAAGGGGACGGTGAGACGTGGGATGCCAGAGGTCTCTGTACAGTGAGGGCTGTTCAGGATGCCGGTCTCCCCAAGTCCCTCGCCGGTCGTCCCCCTTCGGAGGGTCGGTGGTGCACAGGCCAGAGCCCAGGCTGGGCAGACTGACCTTGGCTAAGCGGGGAGGCGCACCGGGCCGGAGCAATGCCGCCTCCCGCCGCCAGGCGGCGTCCTGGGGCCGCGGAGGAGCCGCTACCCCTGCCGCCAGCAGCCCCCAGAACCGCTTTCTCCAGCTTTTCTTCTTTTTTCTTCTCTCTTCTCCCACCCTTCCCTCCCCGACTTCATTCTTGCCTCATTAACTACCTTCCCAGCTTCTCCCAAATTTACCAACACCTGGCGTTCGTCTGGACAGATCCACACAGCCACAGCCCCTTCCTTCCCCCCCCCAACCCCCACCCCGGGGAGGAGCAGAGACAAAGGGATTCCTTCCTAAAGGGTCTAGGGAGTTGGAAAAATGAGGCGCCCGTCTTGGTGGGGGAGCTTTAGCGGGAAGGGAGCGCTCTCATTTCGCTGTGTGCGTCTGGACAAGCCCTCCTCCGTCACCCCCAGCCTCAGTCTCCCCCCCCCCCTATCAAAACAAGCGACTGGGCTTCGGGGCGCATCTCCTGGGGTCCTTCCAGCCTCCCAGCAGCCTGGGGGTGTTTGAGCTCCGCTTAGGTTTCCTCTCTTCCACAGATATACATACACCTGTGTTTGTACATGTACCTGTGTGCCTCCAACACACACAGATTTGAAACACCCCTGTTTTCTGGAGCTTTCCGCTAGATCCCGGAGGAAGACAGGGGTAGAGAACCCTGAATTAAAGGTGTTTTTTCCTTCGCAGGGCGTCCCGCCAGGCGCCTGACAGAGGTGCTGACTACACACAGGCGAGTCCAGGCTGGGGGTCTCAGCAGGGCTCTCAGTGTAACGGAGCTCGCTCCTCCCGCCCAGCCTGCGTTCAAACCCTTTGTCTTCCTGGCCTTGGAAGTGTACCGCACTTCTGAGATCCAGAGGAATAGCGGCTGGATTGGGGGGAGGAAGGGGAAGGGGGATCAAATCTCCAGTCACTGTCTCTCTTCGCCCCTACCCTTCCCAAAGTGTGGGCTACTCTCCCCACTCCCACCCCCAGGCGCCCCGCGTTCCAGGGTGGGAGGGAGCCAGGGGCTGAGCGCGGAGGGAGGAGAGCAAAGACTCCCAGTGGGGTGTGCGTGCTCAGCCCTGCTTGCCCAGGGAGAGGAGTGGCCGCCCCGTCCCCCAGCACACTGGGTCCCAGCCTCCAGCTCCTCCGCCCTCCCCGAGCTGCCCCGGGGGCCCTGGGCCTCTCTCTCCGCCGCCCCAGCACGTCGCCGGGGAGGCAGTGCCTGGCCAGGGCCTCTGGGTGCTGACGGATTATTCCTGTCCCGTGTTCACGCGTCCAGGACAGCCGCTCAGGCCGGGCCGCTGGGTCACCCTCAGCCTATGCCCCGCGGGTCAGGGCGAGCGCGCCTCTCCAGCCCCGGCCGCCAGGGGGCGCTAAGAGGGCGCTCAAGGTAGGACAGGCGGCTGCCTCCCGTACTGGGGGACTTGGGACAAGTCCCCTCCTCTTCCCGGGTCCCCGGGCCCCAGCCTGGGGGTGGGATGGGGTTTGGGTAAGTTCCCTCTCAGTTCCAGAGGTCCCATAAGACATCTACTTGCCGCGGGCAGCCCCCACGGCCCGACCCTACCCCTTTGCTTTGGGCCTGGCGCCGAGCCTCCCCTGGGGCCGGGCGCTTGCTTAGTGGGCCCGGGTCTAAGCTGCGCCTTTGGAGAGATGAGCGGTCCTTCCTCGTCCCTCTGAGAATAAGTCCAAGGTGCCAGAGACGTGGCCGCCGGGCTGTGCACCCGGGGCTCAGCGAGGGCAGCAGCTGCAGCCCCGCTCCAGCAGGTGGTCAGAAGCCCGGGCTCCAGAAGACCCCGGACACCCCGCTGCTGGGGCGGCAGCCCCTCCGAGCCGGGCCGGCGGGGACGTGCGGGGTCTCTCCCTCCGGGAGGAGCCGCGCCGGGGGGAGGGGGGGGAGGGAACCAGAGTCAGCGCCGCGCGGGGGGGCAGAGTGTCCGCGCCGCGCGCTAAGCGGGCGCCCGCGGGGCCTGCGCCTCCGGCCGCTCAGCCCAAAGCGCTGACCCCGCCGCGAGCCGGCGACCCGGGGCGACCGCTCCAAGGTTAAAGGTTACCTGCGATGTGCAGCGAGGCCGGGCCGCACCGGCCTGGGCCCGGGCCGCCCGAGGGCTGGGAGGTGGGTCTGCGGCGCCGCGGACGGTTCCCCGGGGTCCCCGCGAGGCCGGCTACGTTAGAAGTGGGAAGGGTGGGGTGGAGGAACGCGGGGTGCTCCCGACTGCTCCTCCGAGCCGGCCCTGAGCGCCTACGGACGGTGCGGGGAGGAAAGCACCCCAGCCCTTGGAGGTGGGAGGTGCGGGGCTCCTGCGAGAGCCCGGCCAGATGTGCGGGCTGCTCCAGATGTGCCTCCCAGCCCGGACAGGGCTCTCCTCCCCACCCCCAGCCCGGAGCTCAGGTCCGTAAACACACTCTCCCCGCCGCCGCCGCTGCTGCTGGCACCGGGCTCACCCGCTCCCCCAATGTGGTGAGAGCTGCGTGGTTCTCTGCCTTCGGCCACACACCCTCCGCCGCGGGGCCCGAGTCCCCCACCCCCGGGATGGCTCGGGCATGACCTCATCCGCGGGCGGACTGGGAGGGAGGGAAGGGGCGGCGGGGGGGCCCGGACCGGGAAAGGCTCGCTCGGGACGCGGGAACTGCAAAGGCCACCCCCATCCCTCACCCGCGGGCCGCCCGAGCCCCTGGCCCCGCGGCTGCGCTCCGGAGGGGAAGGGTGGACGGGGCGCTGGGGTTGCTTACCCGGGAGGGGTTGCCCAACGGAGCCGCGCCGTCGTCCCCCTCGGACTCGGCCGTCCCCCCCCCCCCCCACACACACACACCCGAGCAGATCCCCGCCGGGCACCCACCCGCTGCCCTGCCCTCAGTCCGGCTCACCTCCTGGGCGCCCGCTGGCTGGCCGCGCCCCGAGGGACCGGTGGCTCGGGCTGGCGGAGGAGCGGTGAGCGCGGCCCCCGGCGCTCTCGGGGCTGGACGGGCGGGGAGGGCGCCCTCCGGGCCAAGTCGGGGGAGCAGGGGGCCCGCTGGGGTCCTGGCAGGCGGCGGCGGCTCGGGCCCCGCGGGGACCCCGCTGCGGGCTCAGGCAGCTCCGCGCTCCTCTCCGCTCCCGGGTCCTGCGCTCCCCCGCGCGCCCTTCTCTCTCTCCCTCTCTCTCTGGTCCTGGCCGGGCACGGTCTCCGGCGCGGGCCGCCCAGGCGGCTTTATAAGGCGCGGCCGCCGCTTTGATCCGCCCACGTCAGCGCGCCGCACCCCACCGGGTGGCTCCCGCCGCGCGCGGGGGGCGGGGCGGGTCCCCACAGAGGCCACGGCCCAGGCGGAGCGGAGGACCCCTCACCCGGCTCAGCTGCAAAGAGGGGACTGACTAACCACAGGTAAGGCAGGTTTCTAACCCCCGCAGCAAGTCCCACAAAGAACCCCAACACGGCTAATGTAGCCGAGGAGAAAGCCACGGCTCAGACTTAGGGGATGTCCCGCATCTGGAGCCCGGGCGGACATCACTGGGTGTGCAGCTTGGGTGCAGGGATCTGAGAGCTGCGTGGGCGGTCCAGTCCGTCCTTCCTGGGGCCATTTCCCAAGGCCTCTGGTTCCAGATCTGGGAAGGGACCGCCATCCTGAGCTCTATCTGCCGAGAAAGGAGGCGCAAGGGCTCTGAGCTGGGAAGCGCGCTCTAAACCTTAGGCGCCAAGGAGGCAGGCATTTGAGCCTCTGGGATGACGGTGGGGAAGCCTTTGACCACCTTGCCAACCCTGCCTCCCCGCCCCCCCACTCCTCCAGGGGATCTCCAGCGGAGGACTGGCTTGCAGAAGCTAAAGGGGACTACATTGGTGCCTCCTGGCTTGGGGCTGGCGCTGGGCTTCTGGCTGGGTGACTGCCCACCTTCCTAACCCCCCACCTTCCTGGCTGAGGACACAGGTCCCTCCCCATTTTGCTGGGTCA